CTCGAAGAATAAGTAAACAACCCAGCGTTCCTGAGCCGCCAGCTTCCAAATTTTCAATTTTCCTAGCTGCTTTTTTAATGTTTTCACATCTGTCAACACTTATTTTCTGTCTGTTACAATCCTCAAATAAGTTTTCTTTCTTTTAAAAAGCTGTATGACTAACAAATCCAAATGATATCCCTCTGAATCAAACACAATTATTTTCCTCCCGTGAAATACACAACTTTAAAGAATGGCTGCCGCTTACATTTAACAAAGCCAGGTCTTATATAAATTCGCAGTAAGTAACAGAAATATGGATGGGTGGTTGGCCTGTTTCTCCTACAAGAATTGTTGTTTTTATTATTTAAACCAGCGATCATTCATATTTTTTTAATAAAATGAATAATATCACCGTCATTTAACGTTGATTGTCGAACTTATTTTCAGCTCAAGACTTCAGACTAAATGGGGCTCTCAATGGGGAAAACAAATTTTAAAATTAACGTTAATATTATGGAAATTTCGTTTTAACTTGTTTTTAAGCATAAAATAAAAAGAAAATGTGTATGTTTGTTGTGTTGCTACGCCACTCGTGAGAATACTGTTTTTAAAGCCCACTCGATGAAGTAAAATTTCATCTTACACACAAACAAATATCCTCTATAAACTGTTAAGATGATGTTTTTAATGATGCAACTATTGTGTAACGCTAACATTTCGCTCTTTAAGGCTCTGTTTATTTATCACATAAACCGCGTCGCAGGAGTGTAACAAGGCTCCTGCGCCGCGGTTTATGTCATAAATAGAAGACATTGAATGAGTGTACTTTAATACAAAATTTATTGAACTTGTTGAATAAAATCATATTATGCGAGCCTCTGGAATATAATATTTTTTATCACATATATGAAATAATAACATTAAATTGTTAAAATGAGTATTTTTTCAATGACGCGCCTATAGTGTGACGCTAATATTAGCGCGCTTTTAACGCTATGTTTATATATAGCGCAAATGACGTCAAGTTAAAGCGTTATTACACTAGTGTAATATATTTTTTATCAAATGGCTTTATTACACTTCTATGCCGCGGATAATGTGATAATTGTATATTTTTATTAGAAATAAAACGTGAGCATATAAAGTAAAGTAAGGAAGAGTGGTATTTTCTTGGCATAAAGGCAACTATTTTAATAGCTGTGACTGCGAATATGATCCGTTCGTATGCATAATTAAAATTTATCATGCTAATATAAATGTTGTTTTGAATTTATTTACATTCTTGAAGGAACATTATTTCTACTGAGTGCCAAATAATTCAAATGATGCGTATTTAACATATCATACCTTTTCCTTATTTGTTTTAATTTATTGTTGTTGTTGAGGATGCTGTATAAGAACATGTTTTAGTGAATATAATAGTAAATATATAATCTTCGAATGAAAAGCACTGCAAAGTTTAACGAATATGTGTCAACAATTACAATGAATGGCCAATGTTACCGATATAGAACCAGGCCGTTCTATTTATCATTCAAACCAATACTGTTATAAAAGAACAAGGCCTGTCTGTTATCATATAATACACATACAGATATAAACAATACTCGTAAATGTTTGCTGCAATCAACAGCTATGTATTCTCATGTTTAAGATGCAATATTTTCTTGAATATTTCTAAGATTAATGTATTGCGGTGTAGACACTTATAACTTAACTTATTAATCAAAATGATTTATAACAAAACATGTGTTGTGAAAATGGCATTAAATTATAATGTTTAAAAGATAAGGATTTCATGATCTGGGTCTGATTGATGTGAACTTGATTAATTTATATGACACGTAGGCATAATTTAACAAACTTATATTTAAAAGCACATTAGATCTAGACCTCAGAAACGAATACATATTTTTTTCTTTATAATTTAAAACACCAGTTTTATAACATTTAAAGGACTAAAATCAGGTAAAAAAAAATTATAAACATTAAAAATAGAAATTCTTACAAAGATCATGTGAAGAACTTAAAATGAAAGAAATATTCTTAGGATTAAATGAATATTGATTGTCCCAGCCCAATTTGAGCCAAAACGTTGCAACGCTTTCCGATCGATTAGTATGCTACACATTTTTTTCAACCAATGATTTACTCGACGTATATCATTTCTACCCACGTACATAGAAACTCTAAATATCTTGTTAAACATCGGTGAATAGTTAATTGTCAACAATCGGCAATTGTTTATCAAGTTAAAAACATTACGTAGATGAATTATACGGTTGTCAATTAAGTGAATTGTTTGATTCACATATCACTAAAGCATCATGCATGATATATTTGATAATAAATACAGTAAATGTTCGGCTTACAATCATTACTGCATGTGCATTTCAAATTGTATCCTTTTTTATGAAAACTAATTATAAATATTTACTTTTAGTTTTCTGTTTTTCATAAAACGTTCAATTAATATATTTATCTATTTATCGTTTTCGCTGTAAGTTTAGTACAAACGCATATGTATTTATACCAAGTACAAGTAACCAAAACTTGCAGCAGAACCCAGAGAAAAAATAACAACTACAAATCAACAGCAGTATAAATATTTTTGTTTTATAATCAAAAAGACATGATTGATTTGAAACGTTTCAAAATATTTAGAGATGAGACTTAATCTACAATTGCTAAATGCTTTACAGCACAGTTTTTTAATCATCGAATCAGGTTTGTTTTATTTAAAATAAAATCATTTGAAAAGAATATTACTAGTTGTTAAAAAACTGGATCCCTTGGTTGCAGTTGTGATGGAAAAGCGCAACATCTCTCATACCCCTCAACACTTAAGCGGTAGTCAATCTTCACGAATTAATGATCACTGAGAAGAAGGAAATATTTCTGAACGTCAGATATATGTATTTATTTAGTATAAGATATTATTCTATAAAACAATTGCTTAATCAGTGTCTTTAATAATTTCACAATTCTTAAACAACGTTTAAGGCGTATAATATTTTAGTACTTAAGGTAAGCAAAATATTATATTCTCGAGTGTAGTTTTTGATGTTAAATAGACTCACTCACTCACTCAGGTTAAATTATGCTAAATACGCAGTTGACATTAATTTAACCTGAGTGAGTGAGTCTATTTAACATCAAAAACTACGCTTGAGAATATAATATTTTGCTTAGCTTAAATACTAAAATATTATACGCCTTAAACTTTATTAACCCATAATTCATAACTGCAAATATGCGTTTCCGGACAGCTAACAATTAAATTAACAATTATGTTTACACGCTATAGGTACAATCACCGCTTTTGTAATGACATGCCAATCAATTAACTTAATTAGGCATATCTTACTCGTGTGTCCGGTGACAGCTCATTACAATGAATATATCCGCCTATGTCTTGTTGACTAATTACCGTCTAATTACCGTTATCCTACACTGTTAGTTAAACAGTGCACACTTTACAGTAAACAATGAAACTACTCGTAATACCATCATAGACAAACATCTGTAGTTAGGCATTTTTCACTTACATCTTGCGCGTATAATACAGCTGATAATTAAAATATATTATTCATAACACATTTGTTATTGAACTTGTTTTGAAATATAAAATTAATGAATCCCTTAAAGACATCCAAATGGGCAAAATTAAAATTGTTGCAGGCTCGTCGTGTGTTCGAGCCTGTTTATGGACAGCATTGGAAAGTGAGAGCTAACATCCATACCCCTAAAGTGTTTAGCATTTAAACATGTATGGTGAAATTTGAATAAGATGTGTTCATGGAGTATTCATTGTACCACGTTAGTGTTATTCCCAATCTTATTAAAACCAGCTCTTATTAACGCTCCGCTTTCAGATCTGACCGTGACCAAATACGAAGTTATTTCTGGTGACCTTTTACATAGCCAATCATAAGCGTGTTTTCATAATGTTAGTGTAGTTTTTAATTTTATTGCTATGAAAACAAATACTGAGTCGGTAATTTCGAGAACAAACATGGCGTTGTCCATATAGCTGACAGGTAAACTGTTAAAACAATCTTGCCCATTAAAAACTGACTCTAATTTTTCAAGTTCATTCGTAAAAAATTACTTCAAACATTTCTTTTTCTAGCAAAAATCAACAACTTTCAAGGATAACGGTATGTTGATACTTCTACTTATGCCTCAGTAAAAACCGGTTTGATTGCATGGCTAAAATATCTATCTTGGGAAATCCGAATTATAAAGAAGGTGAAAAATATACGGTCGTCATCAGATCGACATAAAGTAATAAGTAGATCTGAACATAAGTCAGATTGTGTTGTTCCGTGAAAAAAAAACAGACAACTAATATTTCAATGCAAGCATTTACATAACTTTTTTGCAATGTAATTTAACAAAATAGACTCTGACATGGGGTGTGAAGATAGATAAGATAAGAGGAAACAAATGTTCCAAGCCAGTGAATGAACATTATCTGATTTTATTCAAGTCTAAAATATAAATTTCACAATGTATTTATACATTCTTTAATCTTAATCATAATTTTCTGTCTGTCAAGACAGATATCTATTTTATCAAAGTAAATTTTAAATATGATTTGTTGGTTTTCTGTAAAAATGCATTATTTTGGTATGTAGAAAACAACTAACCAGATTGCAACTTATACATTTTGATAAATGCAGAGATTTTGTAGATCATTGAAAGACACATAACTTGTCAGATTGATGAACGAGTTACAGTTATAAATTACAGAAAATAAAAGTATTCTTGCTGATTGATGGATTTATTGAATTTGTCTACAATAGGCACATTTCCCATAAGTATTTCAAGCATTGATAAAAACAAAAACAAACAAAATTATTTGGATATTTCTTTATTTCTTATAAAAATTGCTTGAAGTAAACAATGTTGATAAAGTTCTAGTAAATTTACTATGAACATTATAATGATAAATAATAATGTTTTGTTCTAGAACTTATATTTTCTACTATATAATATATGTGATAATGGATCCTGTACCTCCCACATGACCCAAAATCCGTATGTAATTTCTTATTGGTTTGTTGTCTTATTGTAAATCCTATCAAAGGAATTATTTATTGCATTACATTATTGGATCATTTCACTTCAACATTATCATTTTAGTTACAATCCAAGGCAATCATTGTATTTGTAACAAATGAAGTATCGAAATTCTTAGGTTTCTTTTTTGCTTATAACATACTTGATCAATTGGTGTAATAAAGGTGCCAATTTTAAAATGTTCTGTAGTTGTTGACATCATTCATTGATTTATATACATGTATTGATTAATATTATTATATTAGTTACAAGCCTTATGTTGCGAAAATAAAATCGGAATGGCAAAATTTTCGCCGAAAAGAGTTCAACTTGAAGGTTATAAATGGTTAAACGATTTAATAGAAATAATTACACTGATAATATTTGAAAAAGGAGTGTATACTTGAAGCAGCACACACGGGTTCTGATTTCTACATCGCTTTGTAATAATTAATGCTTATGTCTTTCCTTTTTTTCGTGTACTTCTTCAGTGATTATAAATGCATAGCTTTACTGAATGAAAACTGCAAAATTATCATATTCTATACTTTATACACAAGGCTAAAAGTTTTTAATTTTCTTTATAAGAATAATCGCTCTAATAACTTTATTCAACAAACGATTGACCACTTTTTTACCACTTTTTTCTACAATGCATTGCGAACATGTTACATAATATATAATCCAACGTGCTTTACTTCACGAAAACAGCATTTTTTTCTATATTTGTATGTCTTTTGTAAACAGTTGGCAGCACTTTGATCTTGAACACAGTGATAAAACTCGATTTTTAATATCCAACGTGCTTTACTTTACGAAAACAGCATTTTTTCTATATTTGAATGTCTATTGTTGGCAACACTTCGATCTTGAACACAGTGTTAAAACTCGATTTTTACACACAAATAAAACATCTCGAGTTTCTTTCCTAAATTTTGAAGCAGTCATAAAGTAGATATAGAAATTTACGGAATAATTTACATATTTGAGAACTAGCAGTATACCTTCCAGATAGTGTAAGTAGAGCATACGGAGTTCAGACGCCGAATCGGCTGTCACATGTTGTACTAGGTACACAATACCGTAAGGTACTTGTGTTATAAAAAATATTGTGTTAACACAAAGCACTAAAACTGTTACCGATTTTCCAAAGGCCTTTGGGCTTGTATAAGTGCTTGTTTTCCAATACCGAAGCCGAATAAGTGTTATAACTGAATTGACGAAAATGATAAAAAACGGAATCACAACATCGAGGAAATAATCCAGGTAAGCAATGTGATTTATAAAAATGTCACGATGGTCATATTTCAGTTCACAGTCGGTCACGCCCATTCGATGGAACCATCCATTCATAATAGCTATGGTTAATGAAATACTCCAAATAACAATCACAACTGCCCTCGCAAGGGTCGTTGTGCACACATCTTTCATTTTATATGGTATCGCAACACAGAGCATTCGTTCCGATGATATTGTAGCCAGTGTCCATGATGACGCAAGCATTCCAAGGAGTGGGTACCCTTTCTCTATTTGGCATTCAAAGTCTGTTGTGTACGTTACTTGCTTTGTCCTTACCAGCCAGAAATTTAGCGTTCGGAAATTGACGCATAAGTCAGCACACGCTAAAGACAGGAAGTACACGCAAGTTGATGACGTAATATGTTTCTTTTTAGTCAAAATAATGATAATTAAGATATTTGAAGGGAAAGCAATTATCCATATTATAAACGTAACGTATGTGACACAGAAATGATAGAAATACACTAAACTGTCCGGAAGTAAAACCACGAGATTTTCATTTATTTGGAATGATAAAGTAGTATTAGTAACATATTCTTCCAGAACTAAAGACGTGTTGTTTGCCGGAAATAACGCCATGGCTTTCAGAACTTCTTACTATTTCTTCCGATGCAATACAATATAATAAGTGATGTCTTTTAATAATCTTCAAAACCTCAAACTGAAAATAATAATAAGAGAACCAGATATTGTATGTATATGAAAAAGTAAATTACATCGTCAATACCTCAATTTGGACTGCAAACCTCCAGGTGAGTCACAATATTTTAAGAAAAGCAACCGTGAGAAAAATTATATGATTCTAAGACAAGTGAAAATATTCAAAATTTAAGAAATTGTTAATGTAAATGTTATGTGCAAGTAACGACCGATTTTGCAGTGTTTAACATAATATTTTAACTGCGTTTAGAGGGCTATATCTGTATTTTCTGAACTATTGTTTTTTTATATTTTTTGTAAATTTCAAATGTAATTTGAAATGTGTAATTTACTGCATTTGTTCACTTGACAATATTTCTTTACTTTTTTAAATATTTAAAAAGCATTTATGAAAATTAGCATGAATTTGCAGGCATAATGCTTTAATCTTTAAAAAAACTTTAAATATGAACTTTATTGGATAGAACATACAAACTTGATTTATTCTATAACATTTACCTGTTAACAAAATAACCATTTGTATATAAATGTTATGAAATAAACTCTTTCCACATATAAGTGTTTTACTTAATGATACAATGTTATACAGTGAAAATAACAAAATATCAAATAAACATCTATACAAATGTACATAAAAAGGAGACATGATGGTAATAAAATGCATACCATATTAATTTTTGTTAATTACAAATCAAATGCAGCATTTGAGGATAAAATGAAAATAGCATAAACATAGACATTAAAAAAAGTATTCATATACGTTAAAGTATACATCGAATAGTCACACATTGTTATGAGTATATGAATATATACATTTGAATTAAACAGTTTATATCTTATGATATATTCTAGATATTTGTACCGTAATCACTGATACCATTTTTTTTGTTTTCCGTTCTAAAACATGATTATGACATTTTGCACGTATATTTAACATAGTACTGTTAAAACATAATCATTTTCATTACGAAATTTGTATACTTCGTGCATTTTAATGCAACAGTGAACATATGCGATTGTTATTCTTAAAATGTTAATGAACATTCTTGTTTTGTTATAATAATTATCAACAAAAAAGTAAAAAAAATGAATAAAAAATAGAAGAAATAAATGCATAAAAATTGCAGTAAAAATTATCAATAGCAAAACAAGCCTTACTGCAATTATGCTCTAAGAATCAAGTATAAATCCACTTTGTTGATATTCTACTTAATATGTACAAATAAAACCAATAACTGTTAAAAATCCAATGGAATTTACGTATTTATCATTTTGCTGACAGAGAAAATAACAATAACTTCATTATCTCAAACACACATTTATATTTACATCCAAGACTCTTTTAAAATGAGATGTAACAGTTGATTGAAGTTTCGTCTGCGCGCGCACTGTGTACGCCTGCAGCAGTTTGTTTATCCACTGTAAATGAGTGGTGAGTAATAATAATAATTTTGATAAGTTACACCATTCATTAGTCTGTTCCGGAACTATTAATTATATAATAACGCCCGTGACGTCAGTGGTCCGATAAAACAAGTAATGTATGTAATCGCCTGAGCTAGCACTATCACGTTCTTATCGGACCTCTAAATTTTATTGATGTATAACAACGAGAAATGTTTACAAAGCTTTTATACATCATTTATATGACTTGTTCACCCCTAGAAGATTTACCATATATTCCATTCAGTAAAACGCAGTAAATTTAAGAAATAGCACCAAATTAAAGCCTTATAGCCCTCGTTCAACACCAAACATTGCACATAAAAAACACGTTACGGCATTCGGCTGTTAAATGTTTGCAAGCTGACTGGTCGGTCGCTGTAATGTTATAAAGCCTTCAGAAATATGTTCTTTTTTTTCACTCTTTCATCTTTTCTATAACATTTAAGTATGATAACTCCTCATAATTAACTATTCACACAACATGTTTGTTCATGCTATTTGTGTTAAAGCCATTTAATGATTAATACAATATTCATGTTGATAAATTGTTAAAGCTTATTTTGTTTCATCTCAATGGTATTATAAAACAATTAGTAATTTGTCATTTTTATAGAGATTAAAATGATCGATTATGACATACTTGTATATTCAATAAAATTAATAACGTTATAGAGACTCCACTGAGGTTTAAATTATATGTGAATAATGTGCATGCATAGCTCGCTATTTTTTTTAGAATTACTGTTGAATTTATTTCTAAATAACGAATCTTAAACCTCCCGTCCAAATTGTGTAGAAAAGTAAACTAAAACAAATCAAAAGCGAAATAATATTCACTATAGTAATATACATTGCAAACCCTATTTTGAATCATATGTACCTCATCAGTCACCATTTGTTCGCAAAATTCATAGATCTCATTCATTTGTGAATTTCGAGCAACAATATTATTTTGTAATTAATGTATCTACTCTCAATTATAAACATAACATGCCGTTTTTGTAGCACTATATAATAAATACTTATTTAGCTGTTTAGAATTAGAGCTATATCGTACACTACAATTCTAATTATCTCCGCAGTTGAAATGTTCACTAAAATTTCGACCACGTGGCAGCATATAATTTTGATATGCCACAGAGCAAGAACAACCAATGCGTCTTAAACATATAGAAAATGTCACATTAAGCTAACTGATAATGGTAAAAAGCATCAACGGGTGCCGGTAAGTAGTTGCAAAGTAAATTGTTGAAAAAAGCAATGGCCTAAGCCTCGGAAGCATCACCTTTGAATTGGGCATAGTCTACTCAAAGATTAAGGGATTCCAGTGTAAAAAAATACCTAAGTTGGACTACCTGGAGTAACGAGCCTGTCCCGTCGAATTTGTAGCAATCGTCGTTAAATATTCCAAATTATGTTTCACGAATCTAACACTAACCATTTCGCAAAATTGTAAAAAAAACGTTGTGCTACAACACTCTTCCGTGTGTTTGAAAACTACCTGTTGTCATGATTTTTTGCATCTTTGGGAACTTTACTCAACGTTGTTCATCTTGATATAGCCCCTCAATAGTAATATTTCTATTCCTAAAAAGCAATAATACTTTGTATTATATCTCGGTATTCCAAACGGTGATCTTAGGTAGTGAGTTGCTTTGTAGACCTGGTATTGCCAAGTATGGACTTATTATCTTATATGTATGTCACAATCAATGTTTGTTTCACACTCTTGCATCCAGTATATGTTTATGAAATAAAAAAGGTTTTGTATAAAGAAAATGTATTTGGCATGACCTTGATTGCCATTTGAAAGGATCTGTCATTTGCTAAATGGTGATGTCCTTCCTTAGACAGAAATTAAATTTTATACATGTATACATGTGGTTTATTTGTTTGGCTTTAAGTCAGACCAGCACTTCAACGGATATACAGTAAACTTGCAGCTTTACTGGTAAGGAATGACCTAAGGCCTCCGTCCCACCTTCAGGTAATTTTAAAATTGAATCATTCTTCATTTTCTTATCTTTATCAATCGTCCAATAAACAGAGGTGATAAAACAGATTGATTGTAATTGAACAGTAAACAAACTAATAAATATCTTAATCAGCAGTTTCTGATTATTTGGCACTTGTGTCTAATTATATAAACGTTTGAAAGAAAAGGAACATCAGCGTGTGCATGTTATTAGCACAAACAATAGAAACACTGTGACACATTAAACTATGATTGGCATAATGAAATTGTAATCCACATTTCAATAATATTTTCACTAATTTTTAAATTATTATCTGATATAATATTTATTTCAAATATGAACGGAGCTCCTCACCCCATCCTCTAACAATAATAAATAAAGATATACCCAAATTTCACTTATTTCATGCCCCTCTACTACTTTCACCGTCTTTGTGTCCCCTCCACTTTTTGGTTCGGTGCCTTCTGGTGTCGCTGGGTTGTGTCGGGGGATATGAGCGTCGACTGGCCTTGTTAATCTTTGTTCTTATTTTGTTTTATTTTTTACATGTATAAACAATCGTACGATTAATCTTACATAATACATTTAAAAACATTTTTAAAATTTTTATTTCTCAAAATTAAACTTTTTATTTTATTGGTGTCCAATTATAGTTTTAAAAAGGTTGGCAATTACCTGGACCATTCTTTGCTTCTGTTACCTTTTGGAAATCAGTACAATTGCATGTATAGTGATTTAGTATTTTGTATTGAAGTCCAAATACTACTTTGTTTACATAAATAATTTCACATTTAGCGCTACTTCCTTCGCGTAGTATACAGTAATTGTGCTCTAAAACCATTACTTAAAGATTAAAAAGCTCTTTGTAGAGAAATCATGAAATATGCAGTCGCTTCTGACGCATTACGTGCCTAGTGTATATCCGGGAGTAACAATCCTATTTGGGTCTTACCTTATCTTTCATATGACATCGGTATTGCAAAGTTTCCGGAAGTGAGGTCTATTTATGTTTCAAAAATATAACGAGTGTATATCCACAGCTTATATAAACAAATTGAATGTACTATATAGACAGTTGTTCACTTTCTCATTGTCTAAAGTAATTGCACTTTAATTATACTTCCGGATGCATTCGTTAGTTTGTAAAGATGCTTATCATTTTCTTAACTTTTGTAAACATATTTTTTTAATTAAATTTAGTTTGCATCACAACATAACAACAAAAACGCAGCAAGGGATCATGTTCTTACATTAGCTTAGAGCCACGCCTTTTCATCAGATGTACCAATATATTTAAAAAAAATATGTAAGCATCTACTTTATCAGCGTTCTCATTTTCCTGCATGATGTAATGATTATAACTATATACATGTACAAAAAACATGAATAACTGGCATTCCAGTAACTCCTTCTCATAAACGAGTACGTAATCAATTCATGATAACACATTCTTCAATAAATAAATACATATACGACTGTGTCGACATATTTAAACAGAATTCGTGTTGTATAATGACCAGGTTCACGTGAATATCAAAGTCTAGTAAAAGTTTTAGTAAAAAAAAGCTACTCATTCGTATGGAAATTGAAATCCGCTCAGTAAAATGTATTTGTCTTTAAGAAAAGTGCATGTTGCATATAGTATTATCAATAATTTTTACTTCCTTGAAAAATATTCTATCTCAAACAACCCCATTAAAAGCTGTTAGATTGAGATAGTAAGTAACCTGGTGAGTTTTTTTTTTAGTTTCTTTTTCTAGGAAATGTCGTATCTACGAAGTTTCAAAACTTATAGGCCTATTAACATTTAAAGTCCGCTGATGTTGATTTTAATAAAGGCATAGAATGGCAATCATGTAAGTGAATTTTGTTTGGTGAATAACTTAAATGATGAGGTAAACGGAAACTACGCCGGCGCGTGTTCTTGTTTCCTTGATTTCTTGTGATCTAAGACCAGTCGCTGACGGTAAATACCGGAAATGAGCGGATAAATACGTTTATTTACGATGATGTAGTGGGCGGGAAAATTGGCGGAGCTTATTTTATCTCCTACTGCAAAACGTATACACCTGGATTATGCTGATCCGAATCATGATGGGCTAAGAAAGTAACTTCAGTTATGTCGACGTTTACACGAACGACGTTTAAGCCTCCAGAACAAGTTTAAAGAGAAGCTATTTCACAATAATCATACTTTAATTATTAAAATAAGCAGTTGTTATTAGCAAAATATATCTTAAATGTTTCAGAAATTTTTTAATTATTTGATTCTTTTGTCTGTTGGGTTATTTGGGGTTCGTTTTATGTAAAACTTAAGGATACTACTTAATGGTGAATAAAATAGTTAAAGGTCAAATCAAAGCACAGATGGCGCTGGATTTGTTTGGGTCTCAGAATGTCAGAAAGGTGAAGGTTGTGAGATTATAAACCATTTTTTGTTTGTATAGTGTCACCAATGCTGTTTTATAACTGTAGTAAATTGGCTATAAGAGTAATAGCAACAATTGATCTATTTGGCTTAAACAAAAAAACATGAGTTGCCTAGACTGGGATTTGAACTTCAGACCTCTCGCTTCCAAAGCGAGCATGTAAACCCCTCGACCGCGATGGGTTATAAGATAACAGCCTGAAGAATACCATATTATTCTAAATTAGAGTTTGTATTAATTTCCGATATATTTTGTTAACGGTAAACCTGTCGTTTAACACTGACGTTAATAATCATGGAGCTGAATATAAGCATGTATATCTATAAGAATAACACAATAGAAGAAATCTTCGACCAATCGGAAACTATTTTTTCGTTACGATAATTAATGCGCCTGTCATTTGACAATCTTTACGCAGTGATCTCCCCTTAATTTGTTTGGCGTTAATGTACATATGAAGGGAAGTAACCGGTTCGAGGAGTTTGGACTACTTTCGGTATTTTCAAATAAGAGAATCAGGGTCTGAAATTTCGATACCATTATTTGTATGGTCTGACGACCCA